TTCGACCTTTGGTCAGCGCCTCTATCGGGAAAACGTCCAAGTTTGTCCTCGATTAGTTCTTTTTAAAAATGTTAGATGGCGCCATTTACCAGGATAAAGAAGAACTATTTTACGACAAACTTGAGCGTTTTCCTGATAGAGGGCTGACCAAATTCCGAAAATTAGTTTGTTCTTTTCACCGTGCAATGAAAATACCTTTTATTGCCTTTTGAAACTTTCTCTATATAATTCTTGTTTCATGATTAATTTGATGTGCGCGCGTAAATTGGTTACATTATTTGGTACTGTCAATTTTTAATTATGTTGCAATGCAAATATTATTATTGTACATTATAAATGTATATACAATTTATTTTAGTAAGATAACAGTTAAATTGGTTTGACATCAGTGATAAACAATAATAAACATGAATGCAATAGAAGCAGAAACCGTCGGTGATCTTATTCAGAAAATGATTATTTCTATTCGTGGAGAACAAAAACCAGGTAAGATTATATTCTCTTTTTATTTATAATTAAGAATTCGTACTAACCAAGCTGTACATATTACTTATTTATGTTTTATCATAAGGGTGCGGAGTTACCTAGCATAACTATAACATCTAGTTTCCTTATTTACATTAAAATGTTTTATATAGCCCTTGCTTTCAATTTTCTCTTCATTCGCCGATATCCTCTTTATGGATGCTTTAGGTCAGATATTCTAGACCAACAGACTCGTTTAAGTAATGGACAGTGTTTGGTTTATGATTGTAACAATAGATCAGGTAAATTGCATTGTTTAATTTATTTATAATGATTTCAGAAATAATTAGAAAATGGATGCGTTTTTCACTTGGATTACTATCATCATCTCAAGGACTGGAAACTTTACAAGAAGATGAAATTACTGTGGTCAGTCACATAAAGGATAAGTTGTCACCTTGCGATGAAGCACAATTTGATAAATTGTATAACGACTTGAAAGCAGGGGTATGGTACAAATTTTACATGATTTCTGTTTAGTTTTTTGGGAATTATATTGTTTATACCAAATTTTCAGTTATTTACATTTGTTCATCTTTTCTTTAGCTGCTAAAGAATAGAGCACGGATCCTCATTTTTCTGCTGAACATGTATCAGTCAACGGAACAACTAAAGGATAGAATTTTCTTGATTCCTGACTTGAAGCTAGGTCTAAGCCCATCTGTTGCATCTACCAGTGGTAAGCAATATAAAGTATCCAAAAAGGTAGTTTCCAATATTCTTAATTTATATCGTAAGATTTTCTTATCCTTTCTGAAAAATTTGTCTACATATTCCGATTTTTACTTGCTAAATAAATTCATGCAATTGGAAAGTAATATATAATTCTAGTTTATTTAATATACTTTATTTTTATATGTAGGACAGACTTCAGAAACTTATGCACCATCGCAAATTGTATCTGTAAATGTCACAGATAAAAATACAAGAGATTTTTTAACAACCAGTAACAAAATATATGGCGATGAGTATATTTCAGAAGATGTATTGGTTCAGGATCTCATATATTCCTTTCAAGGTATCGAAGGAAAGATACTAAAATTGGACTCCAATTATGGTTTCCAAATAGATCCAATGATTAATATCGACAGGTCACGAAAAAATGCTACTCTGAGATTGAGTGAACTTGGATATTTACATAATATAGTACAAAAAGGATTAGAAAGAATATCAGCTGCTTCGAGTGGTCAGGTAGCTGATAGTTTTGTTGCAGCATTGCATTCAGAGTTATCTGAATATTACAGATTTATAGCTATTATTCAAGAAGATGTAAACAGGTATTGAATGAAATTTAATATGCAGATACATAATGTTTGTATCGATAACACCTCATTGTATATAATAATGTATTTAAATATGTAATAGAGCTCAATCTCAATCTGGATTATATAGAGTTACTCTATCCCATTTGCACCTTTGGGCATATGAGCCTTTAGATACTTTAAAATGGTTAGCAAATATAGTGAGAGCATGTCAAGGACAAATAGGTGGTGCTCTCGTTTCTGCTGTATATGAATTTAGCAACCATGGTGATGCCAGTGTGAAAAAGTTAGTCAAAAGGATCTTGGAAAATGTTTGTGATCCTTTATATAATATGTTGATAAGGTGGATTGCTGATGGTGAATTAGATGATCCATACAGAGAATTTTTTATTGAAACCTGTGCTGATATTACTGGAGATAGAATGTGGCATGAAAAATATCAAGTTCGCAACAATATGCTCCCATCATTTATTACACACATACAAGCTAAAAAAATTTTGGGAACGGGTAAAAGTATTAATTTTTTACGTGAAGTATGCAAAGATTTTACTCCATGGCAAGGAAAACATACAGAAATGTTTAAGAATTTTAGCGAGGAATATAAAGGTAAATAAAATACCTTCAATTATTACGATAATTACCTAAAAAATATGTTTTCCTTTTTAAGTTGAAATATATACCTAATGCTTTCCATAACTTTTATATCTTTTTCCAGTTGATGTTCTGTTCGACATGGATCCCGATGGTCGACTACAAACAATGATGGATGCAGCGTTTAAAGAAACTTCAACTAGAGTAGTTGAAATATTAATGAAACAATACCACTTCATGGATCATTTACATGCAATCAAAGGTTATTTGTTACTAGGGCAAGGGCATTTTATTCAACATTTAATGCATTTATTAGAGTAAGCGGCATTATTTATATAGATTTCTATATTAAATATTAATTATTAATTATTAAATATTAATTATTATTAAAATATGCGACTATATTGAATTATTCTAACGTGTATACATCTGTTTGTTTTTTAGACCAGAATTAGATAAACCTGCCAGTTCTTTATATCCACATAATATATCATCTATTCTGGAAACAGGGATAAGAGCGACCAGTTCGAAAATAGATGATTTAGATGTATATAGACGACTAGACGTAAGGTTATTGGCACCTTCGGAGAATGAGAAAGGATGGGATGTTTTTATCCTTGATTATAATGTAGATGGCCCCATTGGAACGGTGCGTGCAAACAAATTTACTCTTTGAAAAATATTCATTAATACAATAGATTTTCTTTATAACCGTTAACCATTTCAAATAATCAGATTTTAGAACCGTGTCGACAAATATATCAAACTATATTTTTTGCTTTATGGAGAGCAAAAAGGATGGAATCTATATTGTCTGCGATTTGGAAACGACAAATAACCTCGGCGAAGATGTTTCGTAAAATGCCAGAAGTATTACCGATCCAGACTCACATACATTTAATCACAAGCAGTATGGTTCACTTGGTTCACCAAATGCAGTATTTCTTCTTATTTGAAGTAAGATTAACACTAGGCTTATTATAATATAAAGTACAGTGTTCATGAAGTGAGGCATAAAGAGTGAATTAATATAAAATATTTTAAGGTAATTGAGTGTTCTTGGGATGCATTTGCAAAGCAGTTGGGACAAGCAGCCTCATTGGATGATATAATTACGGCGCATACTTACTTCATAGACACAGTAAGGCGTGGTACTTTACTCGACGAGAAATCCCAAGTAAGTATTGCGCTTTTGTAATATTGAATACAAAATAAGTATCTAACAAATAAAGAATCTACTGTGAATAATTTCTAAATTTGAAATGAAATTACTAGGGATAAAAAGTAATTGTTTCCAATCAAGTAATTTATATAAGTAAACATACTAATGTACATACTAATAGAAGGAATATTTTGCAGGAGTTAATGGACCACTTGCGTTCAGTATATGGTCCAATCTTAGATTTGCTGAATCTCGAAGAAACGTTTCTTACGATGGCCACACAAGAATATGAGGCGAGAATGAAGGACGGCGCCTCGTTAGATCCTGCAAATATTAACAATGCAGCAGTTACTAAACGTCAAAGTGCTTTTTTAAAATATCTAAACACATTTTCTATTCAACTCAGATTACTTTCAAGGACATATCAGGTAATTTTTATGTTATAAAAACGTTTCAAGTCTTCTTACTTTCAAATTGAAAAAGAAAATATGTTAATTAAAGATAATGAAGAGAAATTTTATCATATAAACCTTTTACAGGATAGAGTGAAGAAGTTTCTTATAATGCTTGCATCTGCTGAAGATGTCTCTTTACAATTACTAAGTGTACGGTTAGACTTCAACGAATATTATAAAAGTAAAGATAGCCGCCTTGTTGTGCCGCTAACATATTTACACCGTAGGCAAAGCGATCAAATTTTTCTTAGTTATAAGTAACAAATGCCAACAAAATTTTGATTAATAATTCTAATCAAGTTAGGTAACAATGCGCATAACAACTCCAGCCATAATTGATAATTAAACGTGATAAATGTATTATTTTGTATTAATATTCTAAATAATTATTTATTTTTTTTCATTTCTCTATGTACACATGACTGATTAATAAAAAGCCTATAAATTGTAATTATTTTCCACGAGTCAAGTTATGAAAATTACTTTTTTACTTAAATTTTATCAAGACGTTTTGACATATCTACTTATAAAACAAAAAAGAAGCAAAGCACCCTATATATACTTCATGAATGTGGCATATACTTATGACTTATTTGATTTCACGCGCAGAAAGTATTTTCCTGTTATATTTTTGCTTTTATATGATTGATTTAATTGGTCTCGAAATTCTGCTTCCAATCTTGCATAAGTACCACCTATTCCAAACAGTATTAATTATAATAAATGCAGTACGTACACTAAAATATTGATTTATAAAGTAATGAGTATAAAGTAATACCACATAATTGGTTCTTTTTCCGATTGTGTTTATTTGACGATTTCATTGATATAAAGGAATCTGCAGACACTATTTTTATTAGTATTGCTATCATCTGTGAAGCTGTTTTTTCTTCAAATTCTCTTTGATTATCTTGATTATGTCTTATTTTTAAGTTGCTACTCCAAGATCGACCATTATATCTGAAAAAAGATCAATTTTCTGTCAGTAATTACGAGATACTTAATGACGATGAACTCAGCTGATAATCAATACTTCCACGTGGTTTGATTTCTTAATTTTTTCTTAATCTTATTTTTTGATCTTAAAGTAGACCATGCATGTGATTCTTCGCTATTATATGATTCGTCAATACTATCTTCATCGATTGTAACATCATCTTCTTCATCGCTATCTGTGACTGAGGATGCAAATGATGAAGTATCAGTAACAGAAATTTGATGAATTTTTTGTAATGATTTCTGTAAATCTTGTATTTGAGATGATCGTCGAAATCTTAGCCCGCTCCATAGTTTTCCTAAATATTGGATATAAAAAATAAATATTGGAAATAAAAAAATTTTCACAAAATATAATTAAAATTTTACATTACAAATCCACACCTAAAAGTCCGAATTTTGGACGTTGTAACGTAAGATCTATACCGACCCACCACATTATGTCCTTATACACTAATTTTCCCAATTGAGTTGATGTATCACATGCTACTAATCTAGTAATTCTTTCTGGAAAAAATAATTGTGGTGGATCCGTTGCTATTATTTCTCTATGTATTGTGAAGATGTTTAATATACACATATCCTTTTGCGCTTTAATGTCTGGAATATGTTCCTAATAAAAAGTAAAAATAATATGCAACAAAATTGGACATCCTATATGTCCTATATAGATTTTCTATATATATTACGTATAATTAATAGTTTAATATGTAAAACTAATATTACCACCTTGAATAACTTACTCTGTATCTACAGCCTTCACGATTTGGTAATACTTCAAATCTGTATGCTCGTTGACTACAACATGGATATCTGCCTAAAGGAAATGGCATAGATCTTTGCTGTTCATTAATAAAAAACTGTGGATGTTCTGCATGACAACAGCACCAATCAATTTGATTGATTGAAAAATATATATTACACTGTGTACAAAACAAATAATGACAGTCACCCCATAATCTCCAATATACTTTACGCCAAGAACGCAACTCTGTTCGAAGAGTAATGATATAATCATCTAAACTCCATGATAAATCTCTAAATAACATATGACTTATTAGAATGATAAATATTACCACGTTAAATCGGAACATCATTATTTTACCTTATATGTTTACTGCGAATATATCCATGACTATCGATTACCATTGCACTCGAAATACATGGTACATAATTAGAGACCGATTGAATGATACTTTTCCCACATTTGCTGCATTTAAATAACGTAGCTAGAGAACTGTAATGGCCTTTTCTATTATCCGGCATTACTTCAGCAAGCGACATTATCAATTTACAGAAGAGTTTACTTTGGATTTTATCTTTTTTGTCTTTTAATGCTTCAACATCTTCATTGGTAAATCGCTCTACTAATCTATGAAAAATTATTGTATATAAAATTATTTATATTGGATACGATAAAATATGTGGCATTTATTTTTCTATGTATTATGAATACTGTTTCAATGATAAGAGTACAAAAACTTTTCATTGCTTAATAACTATTTAATTTATATGTTCACATCAGCCTCATACGTTGATTTACCAAGGAAGCTTTAATACAAATATGTCAAAAGTAAAATACCTTGTAAGAAGATTATCATCTAAACAAGTTAAAATTGTTGATGTTTTTAATATATCTGACATATTATCGTGACAATATTGCAGGCAATTCTCCAAAAGTGGTTCCATTTGTAAAAAAGACGCAGATACCATTATTGGAATAACATTACTAGGCTCCAAAGTTGGCCACTCGGGTTTTTTTATAATATCCTTTTTCACCCATCTCATTAACCAATCAAAAATGACAATATCACAGTGAACTGATATATCTATATCTTCTAATTTTTGACCTGCTGTTAAATCAGCAAAGTAACGCATTTTTTTAATAAGCAGCTTTTGAGGGCAATAGAAATTTTTTTTTATATTTTTTTCTTCATCGCAAACATGAATTTCCACTTCATTTCTGTGTAGACATAGAACAAATTATTAATAATTCTATAAACAATCATTATTAACTTTAATTTTAATTATATTAATATTAACTATTTAAGCACTTACTCTATTGTTTTTTTATTTGTTTTATTTTTATCTTTCTCTTTGTGCATTACATTTGTAATTGATGTTTCAATATTGTTACTTAACGAATTACATTTTTTTAATTCAGTGTTTGTAATAGACTTTTTGATAATTGGCTGCGATATCGTAGACTTTGGAATCAGATATGGTAACACAGAATCCAATAAACCTTCATGTAATATATCACTTAAATTTGTCTTTATTAACGTTATTAAAAGATTTTCTACTTTATCTATGGATCTTGCAACTTTTGTATCATATATACTTTCTGCAATTTCATTATATTTCTCAACATCAGCTAATGTATTTTGCTCATAACTATGTATTTGTTCATTTGGGATCAACACATTTGAAATTTCAATAGGATGCATACAATTTTTAACATTATTGTCAAATGTTTCACATAATATTTTCTCTTCAGTATCGGTACTTATATTTTTGTCTATAATACTACTCTCAACAAGTACTTCATCACTTATGTTATGGTTCTGTGATTCAAAACATATATTAATTTTTGCTAACTTATTCCAATCAAGTTTTTTGTCTGTTGTTAACATTGTAGTTAAACTTTCACAATTATCGCCAACTTGATATGCAACTTTCATGAATTCAAAAAACATTCCAACTGTTAACTTTGGATGATTGTTATCTCGAAGTTTTTGAAGTATATCTGACAAGTCTAAAGCATATATTCTCTATTATTTCATTTAATCTAATTGTGCTATTTTAAAGAAACTCAAAATTTATAAACATCGATACTTTCCTTTAAATAAAGTATATGACATTAAAGAGACATAAATAAACATTACATAAATGCTACTATAAGAATAAGACATAAAAGCATAAAAGGTAAGAAATATGGGAGTGCAATATCAAAAGTTGTTATTTTTGGGAGTAGAATATATCAATTGATTTACATATACCTTTGGCAGTTGTTGAATCTAATGCTCCCAATAATTTATGTATATTTGTTTTAAATGAAATATCATTAATTTTATTTAATTCCATTTTACTCAACAAATAAAGGTATTTATTATGCTGGATCTAAATAAATAGAGATAAATCTACAACATTTACTTGTCATACATGTATACCATACCTCAGAGGTAAATTATGTTAAGTTCAAATTTTTTAAATTTAATATTTTAAATAGAAATTAGATATATAACGTTAATTAACTTAACATTTTTTACTCAACTTTCAAAAATTTGTACTTAACATAGTTTGCTTCTAAATTATAACTATATTAATTGATATTAATGTAAAGGTTTACGTTTGTTGCTTGGAAATGAGATGAACACATTCATACTATTGATAAAACAATTGCATTCTTTTACAAATTGATTCACCCTGAAAATTAATATCTTCAACTGGTACAGTGAATAATCAACAAGTAATATATACATTTCCATAAATTAAAATTATTGCAGTGTATTCATTACTGTAATAAAATATTTCACATTTCATAATATATAATGCTATTGATCCCATTCTTAGCTCATAAGACTTTGATAGAGTGCGCTAGTAAGCACAGAATGTAACAATGTATTAAAAAAATATTTAGAAAAAAAATAGAATAAACAGGGGAAAATGTACAAAAGATTTCACAGGTGAATAAGCAGCAGAGTAATCAAAATTTTCTGTAAAGAAATAGCTGAAAAACCATAATACTAAAGGGACCAATCACCAGATTGAACAATAAAAATTACAAGAACAAAAGTACAAATTAGATCAAAGAAAACATAATTATTGTAATATTATAAGAAAATAGTATTTAAGTATAAGGAATAAGTATACAAAAATCACTAAGACCAACTTTATTAAGTGGTTTGCATTGTTAAATAAAAGATTGCATGTGTAAAATCAATGTAGTATATTTCAATTTTAACTATCTGTTCTAAATCATATGAATAATATAATATAATAATTTAATTTTTTATTTTATGTCATTAAGTGGAACATAATAATGTAAAATTATTAATAATTTTATTCCATATGACACTATAATACAAGTTCAACTAGTTTATTTGTATATTATATGTTATTCTGTAACAGCATAAGAATTTTTCTCATCGGAACTTGCTAAGGACTTTTTTTAACTTCATCTTTGGATACAACCTTGCTGCAATCTTTGGGCTTTCGTTGTGATCTCACTGATGAATTCAAATCTTCTTGACAATTTGCATAAGCCATACCTAGTCCAAAACCAGCACCAGTTAAAATGGGCCATTGTCTTCCTATAAATGTACATTAACAGTTAATTTGATTAGACTTGTTTGAAAACCCTATCATTTTCTATACAGTAAAACTTCGACTTAACTTAACCTTCAAAAATATTAGTGTCATTAATTCACTGATTTAAACATAAATCAATTAAACATATGATCATATAAATTACGAGATTTTATCAACATTAAAAAATTACATGCACTTTCTAGATCAGTATAGATAATATAATTAAATCTTACGTTTGAAGAAAAATAGAGAGAATACACCACCAAGGAAAACTCCACCTCCTAAAATAATACCGTTGTATTAGCAACAAAAAAAACATTAAATATCTTTTCAAATGTAAGTAACGATTATAAATATTCAAAGACATTTACCGAATTTAAAAAGAGCATCTGTGAAACATCGATCCCATTTTTGTCCAATTTCGTCTTCCGACCAAGTAGTACCAGCCATGTTTTGTGTATTAAAGTTCATATATAGATCTGTGCTGGTGTTATGTCATACATGAGATTGTGACCATCTTACAGACAATTATTGTAACATCGATTATTTACGAAAATAATCTGAAAGAAGTTTGTTGAATCATTGGCCTTTCGATAATATTCATGTGTGCGTGCGTGTGTATGTGTGTGTGTGTATTAATATTTAAATATAAATGTTTGCTAACAGCCAACGCAATTTTACGCTCCCATTTTGTTCAAATAAGTGACGCTGGGTGCGCCAGTGGGTGCACTCAGAAGGCTACCGCTACCAGGTTTCGTCCACTAAACGGTGCTAAACGGCCATTCGGGCACACAACAGCACCCAATCCACCCAATCCCAATCTGGTGGTAACCAGTGGCAACCAGTGACAAGCAGAACCCTAGGCTTCGAATAAATCTCAAGTTTGCTGATATGTTTGTCTTGTTTCCTCTTTCTAACATTTTTCAAAGAAAGAAACGAGACAAACACATTGACAAACTTCAGATTTATTCGAAACCTAGGGTTTTCAATTTCTCCACGTTCAATTTCAAATTTTAGTTCTTTCCCACTCCGTCCTAGTCAAAACAAAACTCAAATACAGAAAGTATTAATAACGATACACTATTCTATTATAAAATTCTTAAATTATTATTTGATTATGATTTTTAGCAAAAAAAAAAATGAGTAATTGATACAATTACAGTTGCAATTAGTTTTTCAAGTAGTATTTTATCCAACGTAGTAGTTGTGAAATCGAGCACGTGGTAATTTCGAGATGACGACCGAAATGACAACAAAATTGGTTATGGTTCATAAAACTAAATCAAATTAAATCGAAATAGGCTGATATGATTCATATTTAATCAAAGGACAATCAAGTGAAGTTTTGTTTAAAATCCTCCATTAAATAAATTCTGAAACTGAAAAACTGTTTGGTATATTCAGTTCTTTTAATTATAATGATAAAACACCTTCATATTATCTAAAACAGATAATTAAATTTACGAACAAATTCCGTTTTAAGATATTCGTTATATAATGTGGTTCGTGAATATTTTGCATTTCTGAACTTATAAAATACACATCTATATATATGTACTTATGTACGTATTGTATGCATTAATAGCGATTTTAAGGGGTTAACAACATGTATATATGTACAATATTTAATAATTTCTATTGTACGTTTTATTACAATATATGTATTTACATATACGTTACGTCGTAATAACTTGTTAACTTTAATTACAAAAATAATGAGTTACAATTATAGTGACTACCTACACATTTGTCAATATACATATTTTATAGATATAGATAATTAATTCTATCTATCAGCAACTTGAAGAAATATTTTATGAATGATGATATTCACTGTAGCAAATGTTTATAAATCGAGAGTTGCCTGGATTGAAAAGTGACAATAATTATTGAAATATTTTATATATTTCTGTAAATTACATTTATTCTTGAAGTGTCATCACAAGAAGTATACTGGCCATATTCCAGATATCATCCTTTTTTATATTTACTAATTCTGATAACTTTAAGGCGATAATTTTAGCTGTTTCATTGTCCACACGTGCGAAGAATGTTCCGCAAAGAACTACCGAAGCTCCCAAAAATAATGTATTGGATTCCAACGTTATAAGGTACCTCTTTTCTTGATCGGTTGTCGCAGTATGCCCTTGTACTAAACATTGTAAATTAGAGTACAGTTTTTCCCGCTATAAACATATTTCTGCTTTATTAACCATGTAACAACATTATATCCAAAGTATATATTGAATAGTTCATACCTGTAAATAAACTGAATCCAACAAACTTGTAGTTAGATCTTGCATGTTTGGCATATTCATAAGACCTGTTGCAGCTAAAAGAATTTCTATACAATTCAATGGTGTACAAAATGGCATTCTAAATCCTACCATTTTAAATACTTTAAATTCTGATAAGAAAATTATACTTTTTGTATACTCTGATTTTTTGTCGATCCATCGTAAAATGTTAAGTACCTATATTAAAGTAAAATATTGAATAGTATTATTTATATATTTAGAGAAAAAATTGTATACATATGTACTTGCGATATTCCTAAACTTGTCGAGTGCGAGTCCATTTTACTAGCTAATTGCAAACATGACATGAGGTACAATTTTGATTGACTGGATATCTTCTTACAAACTTTTGACCAAGAATTTTCTGTTTGCTCAGTAGTTTCATCTTTGTACACTTCCCAAAAATAATTGCACATAAATTTGTCGTACAGATGAATGGCAATATATTTAGTATCTGGTCCCAAATCAAGGTGTTTTGTTATTTTAAAAATTGCACTAATAATTGGAGCTGGTATGGCTATAAACATAATTCGATATACAGAAATATTGTTAAAATGAAACTATTAATATTTAATTTATGTATATTAACAATTACCTACAAATGGCATGTAAAATTCATCATTGCCTTTAACAAGTTTTTCCTGTTCTTTCATAACTGCTTGAAGACCATCCAACCAGTCTTCCAGTAATGGTTCTATATAAAGTAGAGATTTGTTTCAAAATGAAAGTTTAGGTTCACTTTTTTCATACTACTGTATTTATTATACGTTTATAATCTTCCGAAAATATCGTCATGGTAATTACCAATATAAGCAGTATCCAAATCCATTTTTTTCTCAAATTAAATTTTCGATACCATTAATATAAATTTTCGTAATGAAATTGTTACTAAATATTATTTACCTTTCAAACAGTACACATGCTTTTAGACAAAGCTGATTGGATAGAATTTGTGTCATGTGACGCACTCTATAATCTATCAAAGATATTTTGTGGGTATTTCAAAATACTTGAATACAAAAGAAAAATTTCGTTTAATATGTAATTATAAAAATTGTAATACGGATGGAAAATGAAACACAATTTATAAATCGTGAAATTAACGAAAAAATTTTATTTTTCAAAAATTATTCATGTACGTTTGTATTTACATTGAAATTATCGATCGATGGATCTTATTCCACGTTCATGCCCTCTTCTTGATGCGGTGACTGTGTTAACAATAAAGGTTCATATGTCCACTTTGGAAAGACTCGTTTATACAAATTCATTAAAACTGTGTCTTGTGACTTTAATTGACCATTAAATACACATTTCATATGACCGTGCGTACCTACGGATAAAGGTAATAGTAGCGAATGTGTAGTTATTTTACTTAACAAAACGTGAAATAATTTGAAACAATAATTTACCTAATGGTTCTTTTATATGACCTCTACGACCGTATTTTGTTCGTAGTTGAACCGGCTTAAACCAATTTATGTCCTCTCGGTGAAAGAACATAAATCTTATAACTGCTGATCGTTTATTTACTTTGTATATATGACCACTGAGAACTACCCTTTTTACAATTATTCTATCTGGATTTGCAGACAAAACACTACCGGTTGCAATCAATTCCTATAAAATTCCATACATTTCAATACGTTTTTAAGTTAGAAGCAATTTACGATAATTTACAGCTGTATTTTTCTTACCAATGATCCGTTCAATCTTTCAAGATAGCATAAAACTGGGCAAGGTGGAAAAATAATTGGCGCGTACATACTTGCGACAATTGTACTCTCCGGTTGAAAATATCGTTCATACTGGAAAACAAATTCTACTTTCAGCGATAGAAGTAATGCAGAATATTTATAACGTGTTTAAATATAACCTTGTGTTTATTTCCATTTGTATGTTGACTAAATACTGGACACGCAGTGAATCTTCTGAATCCACATTGAAATATTAATCGTTCCTTAGATTTGATTGGTTGCGGACTAATATTGGTATGTTTTAGTACCAAATTTAAAACGGACATCTTGTGCTCATTCGGAAGTAAAGCAAATACAATTAACGGGCGATTTTCCAATGTACAAAATGTAGTGAAAAGATCTCGCCTAACATTTGTAACATAAATCGTGATATACCAACCAGGCTGCAGCAAAAAAATACATATATTTATTTTAAGTATTCTATGTAGATAATACTATGTTTAATGAGGTCAATGATAAATACTATAAATAAAAATATACCATAGCTCCTTCAATATTTTGAGATTCTTTAAATATACGTTTACGCGTTCGATCAAAGTTCTGAAATTGAAATATCCGAGCATAATCGATTGGAAGATTTTCTTTTGGATCCCACGAACTTGTCCTAAATGATTCCAATCCACGATATTTTTGGAACCTCACTTTAGCTGAGATATCTTGAGGCGTATCCACTTCGTCAGGAAATTGAGCATCCAATTTTGCTACTATATTTGAAGTACAGATCAAGTTATATGACTAACCAAAACCGTAATGAAATAAAAAATGATTTCTATTGATTTGACAAACGTACATTTTAATTTCTCCATGGCTGTTTTTTCTTCTATTATATCAATATCTTGGTCGTACCGTTGTTCATCGGGAGCTGCTTCTGAGACAGTAATTGTTTCATATTCTTCATCTTCTTCTGCTTCTGCTTCACTGTCCACTTGAGATTTTGCTTCGTCCACAGACATCTTGTCTTCTGATTCATCATCCGAGTATCCATTGCTTAATTCCTCTAAAACATAACATACATACGTTATGCATACGAATCCATAAATCTGATTGCCAAAAGTAAGAAATACCTCCATCTTCGTCAGGGATCCAAGCTGCTTGGTATTCAGAAGTTCCTTTTGGAACTTTCTTTAAAATTTTTTTCTTCTGAGCAGCTACCGCTTGGGCCAATTCTTCTTCTGTAGGCCAAGTTTGTTCAGCATCCATAGGATCAGGTATATTTTCGCTTTCAAGAGATTCCTAGAAAAATAAATTCACTATGTTTAATTTTAGAAGTTACATGATAACAATGTTTTCTATTCATACTTGTTTCTCTGGATTTGCACGTTCAAGAACCCTGGTGGATGGTTCATCGTCCATTGCATCGCAATGTTTTCTTTGTTTCTTTTCTATTGGATATGGATCTTCGGGAGCATCAATTTGAGACATTTGAAAATCTCCAAATCCAGGTATATGTATTAAACCATTGACTGATAGCGGCACTTCTCTAAGGTATCCTGAGACCATAAGAGTTCCAAGTTCCGTACAGTCCTATAAAATATTGAAATTCTTTGTGATTTCTTACCACCATAAAAAGTGTTTACTACAGTACTTACTTTATTACATTTAAATTTTACTTCCTCGGCTAACAGATGAGCTCTCTTATTTTTGTAAGATATGGTTCTTTGTTTTTGAGATCCGACTCGTCTTAAAATATTTAAAGCATCGGTAGGTGTATCCAACTGACAAATTTTCTCTTCAGGAAGCCACCTAGAAACTGCTGACTGTACACGGTTTTTGTAATCTTGACGTTTCTGTAATTTCATTCATATAAAACAACGCAAATCACGTTTGCGAGGAGTAATATCAAAATAAATTTCAGTATGATACCTTCACATGAAGATTTTCAACATTCGTAAGTGTTACTACAGGAGTAGCCAAGCCTTGAGCTACACATGCCATAATGACTGTCTTGCCCCATTCATCAAGAATTTCGTCTCTTTGACTATTATCACTGTGATTTATAGCAGAAATAACGAACACGATAGATGTAGCTACTTTTGCTGCATCTAATGTGGCAAACAAGTTGCCAATTGGTGGTACCACAATTGAGAAGCGTTGCTTGAATCTAGGAACGCTAATGTAAACAATTTAGTAGAGAATTATTCATATTTTAATTAATGCAATTTAAGTAATTATGTACTTTATCAATGTTACCATTGATTTCAACAGCTTTGAAGTATGTCAGAGGGGCTAGATTGCTAACCGAAGCAAATAATATTTACTACAATTTTTTATTCTAATAAAGGCAATAAAACAGAACTCTTAATACAGGACAATAATTCGTGTAGTTAAAATATTGGTCAAATATTATTAAAATTAATATTTAACAAAGAAATTTTTCTATTCTATTGTGAATGTTTTATTTTAAAAGTGAATAACAATTATTTTCTACCTCAAAAAGCTCAGTGATCACCTTCGATACACTAAAAAAATCATTAAATAATTGATAAAGTACATAATTATCATAATTCACAGTATATATGCTACCTTATATGCGTTGTACCACATTGGCTGTTAGCAATATTTATAGTTTCATCTATTTTTGTTAATCTCGATAACACATTTTGAATGTCTACATCCTCTTGTAACGGAACAACGCAAATAAGAATAGGTGCAGATTGAGATCCGCCAAGATTTCTTTTCTGTTGCAATACATCTTCTCTCTTCTTTTTCCTAATTTGAGAAGACTGATGCCTTCGTGCCTCCTTGCCAAGAATTCTGTGTATACGTTTTGACACAACTTTTACCCCAACTTTTCCTACATATCAAGGAAATCAAATATACGAAAAGGTAAAAAACAGTAAATAAATTTAATTACAAAATTAAATGACAGGTTAAATTGTACATACCTTTGACATCGCTACTTATCGAGCCTTTACTACGATGTCTACCGGTTTTGTGTTGCTTGTTTATTTGTTTAAATCCGCCAGCTCGATGCACTTCTTGCTTGTCTATTCCCATTTTTGTTCAAGTATTAGAATAGTTTATTAAAACAATAACATTACAATATCCCACGTGTATCGTTCAAGAGATATTTTCTCATTTTTTCAGAGCATTGTAGATTGTAGGAATATTTGGGTCAATATCAAATTTCCCTATACATATTTTTGATTTTATACAATTGATTCAATTTTTGACTTGAAAATATATACAGTATATTTGAACATATCGTATAAGTTTATTTTTCACAATTAAAGTACATTTAATTCTTATTCAATACATTTATCGTCCTTGATATTGGTTACATTTATAAAATGTAGTTTTATGCTTATGCATATGGCAGAGATCACCAGGGATGGCAGCAGATGGCAGCAGATGGCAGATGGTAGGGCGTAGGGGTTACTTTGACTTGCTTTGACTACTAGTAAATACAGAAGTTAGGTTATGACTCACGTGTTCACTTTCAAAAACTTAAACTGCTTTTTATATTATTTCAATACAAGTTATTTATTTTAATATTATTTCACTACGACGTTTGAAAGTTAAAAGTTAATGTAATCGAATCGTAAGTTTTTAATATTTTAAAACTTACGCATAACTAGAAGGTGTCAAACCTTACTATTCTTTCTATATTTTAGCAGGCTTACATTATTCTGACAAAAACCTGAAATACTAAACGAGATGGGACGAAAAGCTAAATTCGATGGGGTGACTGCTCCAACTGGTCGTGGAAAAAAAGCAAAGAAGCAAGGAGATCCAACATTTCCAAAAGGAGTATTAGGTACTATGAATTACAATTTTATTTGTAAATTATAGTTTATTTGCCTGTGAGGGTTTTTCATAATTGATATCTCAGTAAACTAAACCAAGTAGTGATTTTGTATCTAATATTAATTTGAAAAGTGTTCACATATTAATTACTTTATATTGTTTCATAGTAAAAGAAGAAAAGATATTAAGTCATCGGCAAAAACAACGTGCAAGGAAACGGTTATTAAAAAAACAGAGTTTAAAAGAAAAGATAAAAAAATTACAGATGGAAAAGCATAGAGAAGCAGAACATACAATACAAAAATATGTAAGTTCTTTCATTTATAATTATGCTTTATGTGTCAACAATACTACTGGAAATTGTATGATTTTATTATACTAGAATATCAAGGATACACCGAAACAAATGACAAAAAAGAAGAAGAAATTTTCTAAATCCATATCAGTTCAAAATGGTAGTTTAAGCGATGAAAATGAGCAAATGGAATTGGATGAAGATTGTAATATGTCCAATGATGAATATGTAGACAAAAGTGCAAAACAGAAAAATACAAAAATGAAGTTAATGGATAGTGATGTGGAGGATGAAAGTGATATTGCAGAAAGTGATAAGGAACATGATATAAATGAGTTAGACGAGGATGAAGAAACAGAGGAGGAGGATGAAATGACTCAGGATGAAGGCACGGTAGAGGATGATAACAATGATCTACTTCCCATAGAAAAAGCAAATAAGAAATTGAAGAAAAAACAGGAAAAAGAGAAGTAAATATATTATTTATAATTGGATCACGCCGAGTGTCTTCTTTCTCATTCATTCTCAATTATTTTCTAGAAAACTGGCAGAAGAGGAAATGAATGATATGATTTCACAGCAATGTATTTTCACTTTTCCTACTGAAGAGGAACTTGCAGATGTTACTAATCTTAAAGATGTCCAACAACGAATAAAAGACATTGTTATGATATTATCTGACTTTAAAAGATTGCGCGACGTGAATAGGTATATTCCTTGTCACTAAAGTAACTTATGAAGAAACTTCATAGAAGTTCTATACTCAATTATCTTATAGGTCGCGTACAGAATACATGGACATTCTCAGGAGTGATTTATGTACATACTATAGTTACAATAATTTTTTAATGGAAAGATTGATGCAAATATTTCCACTAGACGAGCTATTAGAATTTTTGGAAGCTAGCGAAGTTCAACGACCTATGACGATACGAACAAACACATTAAAAACGCGTCGTCGCGATTTGGCAGAGGTATTCGTTAAATTAAATATAAAATAAATATTTCATATATATTTTTTAATGTATTTTTAGAGTATATCACTAATAATTATATACTTATATTTCATAGGCTTTGATCAACAGAGGTGTTAATTTAGATCCGATAGGTAAATGGACAAAAATTGGATTAGTAGTTTATTCTTCGCAAGTTCCAATGGGTGCAACACCGGAGTACCTGGCAGGACATTATATTCTGCAGGGTGCATCTAGTTTTCTACCTGTTATGGCTTTAGATCCTAAAGAGAACGAAAGGATTCTGGATATGTGTGCTGCACCTGGCGGAAAATCGTCACATATAGCGGCGCTTATGAAAAACACAGGTGTACTTTTCGCGAATGATGCGAATGAAGAAAGAATAAAGGCTGTTGTTGGTAATTTTCATAGACTTGGCATTGTGAATTCTGTAATTTGCACTTATGATGGACGGAAGATGCCATCGGTAAATGACATTTATTTAGATAAATATTCTTTGCATTAACACGAATACATTAAGTAAATAGGATAATTTTCAGGTTATTAAAGGCTTCGATAGAGTTTTATTGGATGCACCATGTACTGGTACCGGTGTTGTTTCGAAAGACCCCAGTGTTAAAACCAATAAAGATGAAATAGACATACAACGTTGTTGTACATTGCAAAGGGAATTACTTTTAGCAGCTATAGACTGCGCTAATGCTCGTTCAGAGTCAGGTGGTATTATTGTTTATTCCACTTGTTCGATACTACCAGAAGAGAATGAGTGGGTTGTCGATTATGCTCTTAAAAAACGTGACGTAAAAGTGGTACCTACTGGCATAGAATTTGGTGCTGATGGTTTTACTAGTTACAGACAACATAGGTTTCATCCTTCGTTAAAATTCACAAAACGATTTTATCCACATGTACATAATATGGATGGATTTTTTGTAGCAAAATTAAAGAAATTTTCCAACATTGTTCAAAAAAAGAAAGATACCGAGGAAGAAACTTTTGACTAATGTTTGCGAAATACATGAATGTATGATGATTACCATAACATTTGGAAAACATGCCGTTCAAGCAATTTGAATGTATTAAAAATATATGTATATACAGAATTTATATTTTACATTAAATTTGATGTATAAATTATATAACATTCTCTAATTACAGTGCTTACATGCTTGATTATACGTTGCTTGTACATGATTGAAACAGTAAAAAAACAATATAACTGTCATACAAAAAAGTATGGGACATTAATGACTGATAAATCTTTAAAGCACGCGACACTACGTTTGCTAGTGGAAAAATATACTCTTTAGTTGTTTCTCACAAAGTTTTTTTACTTCATCTGAAAGAAGAACATTCCTGTATGAATAATAGCTATTTAATATAACTTTATTATATAATTAACATAATTAGATATGTACCTTCTATTTCAATTATACTTGCACTCTTTTGTTGAATAACTACAAAAAATTCCCTCAAATTTGATAATTTTCCAATAACCCAATAATCGCTCATAGTTTTTATAATAATTTCACCAGCTTCTTTTAACCTGAAACGAGAGAAAATCAAGAATATCTTTCAGTACAAAGTAATAGCTTATCTAAAACAAAAACATTGCTATATAATATACTAACTTGTTTGTATCATTGTATATGTCTGTAATAACCCTCAATACTTCAGGTGTTGTAAGTACATTAGAACATCGTCTATTATCCAGATGTATCGTACTCTTATATGCTAAATTAAGTTTATTAAAATACAAGTATTTTGTACAAGACTCAGGTGTAATTATAACATGTTTGGCACATTGTTCTGCAACTGAACTAACAAGAGTGGTCAATTGTGGTCCAAGGAAACCATCAAGACTTTTAAAGAAATCTATTAACAAGTTTGTTTTACCTGTAAAATAAACATTTTAATTTTGCAGATTTAAAGCTTTAAAATTAATAACAGTATTTTTTTCGGAAAGAGATACCTACTGTCAACAAAAAGACAAATGGTAGCACTTAGCGATCGATAAACTACTAAATATAAAGAGATTGGTTTTGTAGAATAATTTATAAACACTGTAGGAGATTTTCCAATTAAACTTGGTTCATTAACGCTAGAAGGGCCGGTGACGAATCTGCAAATTTGTATCGCATATGCTTATTATAACATCACATATCAAGGAATATGTAAATATATATGTACTTACTTTCCATAATGCGAAGTAGTAAATGGCGAAGGGGAATTTCTGGGCATTGAATCCCCGTGTAGTTCTTTTTCGAGATGAGCTGGTAAAAGTGTACCTACTAAGTAATTATAAACTACTTGCATATCTTCAGGTTCTATCCCACTCCTAAATAACAATATAGTATTATTTTTCCTATCGGAATACATTGTATTAATACATTAATTATAATGTTACTAACCATACAACTTGATCATTATAAAGAAATGCTGTATACTTCACTTGCGAAAACATAGCTTCTATGAGATTCATAAAACATTGTACTCGTAAAAATGTTATTTTGTCAAGAGGTAAAAATTGTAAGCCTTGGAAAACATCCAAAATATCACTGTTATTTAATTTCAAGGATAATAAATACTGTGAAAAATGTATGATTTTAAAACAAACAATACGCTAAAATATATACATATTGCATGTGTTATTAAATATATATTTACTCTCGAATAAAAATGTTCAAGTTTATGTTTTAGTAATGTTATAGATCCACATTCAGGTTCGTTAATGATTGTGTCAAACGAGCCCATGAATAATCTGAACATAACATATGCCTGTTTTAATATAGATTGACAAACACTGCTAGAAACTTCATCGTTTTGATATTCTATATATTTATTACCATCTTTATCTTTACACATATAAGGTACTCCAACAATCTATAAAAGAATCATGTAATTTTAGGATCATATTATATATTTAATATGTTCAAATAACAAAAAAATTGTTCTGTATGGTTTGGTTTATGAATATTGCAGAAAACATACCATAACCATCCAAAAATTTTCTTCTGGTTGATAATATATTTGACGAGTTTTATGCGTATGACAATAATCGCAAGGTTGTTCAGGATTAAATGATCTAAAAATGTGAATATAAGAATTTAATCTTGTTAAACTAATGCAACGTATAGGAAAGATTTTAACATAAAAATATAATTGTGTTTATACACACTTTGCAAAATTAATAATTGCCTCGCTGAGTCCTATATTTTTAATCTGAACATCTAAATCTCTTTCTGGATAATAATAAAGAATTTTTTTCTCTTCCTGCACAGAGGATACATGATGACTTCTTTATGTTATATGTATATCAAGCATGATTTTGCAAATTTTTTAAATACTTTATTGCCGAATTGTATGTACTTGCCTCCCCTTCTTTCTTTGCATACGTTCCATTAAATATATAAAAGTGTTCCAGAGTAACCTCCGTTTTAGATGTCATTTTGACAAACAACGTAACCGAAAGATGTAATATTTTTGTTTTTTTATAAAGTATCGGAATATTAACAAGCACAGGGATCGATTAATTGAAACTACCTTATTTGCATTTAATTTTACACGAATATCTCAAGCACCGAATGTAAAATTGTCTCATCCCTCGCAGTACTTTGACAAATTATTTTGAAAACTTGACAGATACTGAGTTAGCAGCACTGTTTATTGTCACGTGATCAAGGTATTTTATCACTGACAAAGTATGAGACAGAATGATTATTGAATGAGTTGATATATGTACAGTCAGTTGGTAGAGTAAAATTACCTTTACTCAGATTGGTGTTATCATTATCAGGTATTATTCGATCGGTATGGTATAGCTTGGTAGTGATAGACCTACACTTCATCCACATCTACGTTTCTTAACCCAAAACTTCAAATTACGTTTAGTGTTTTTTGATGCGATCGATCGCATGTAGGCATATCTGCTGAACTGAAATTTCTGAGAAAATGTAGGAAAATAATACAAAATCAGTTTTTTAAAATCTTAAAGTTCTTTGCCTTCTTCAAAAATATTTCAAAGAAGAGATTCAATTACATTTCATTTTACAATAGTGAATATTGTATACAATATAAGAACGTACAATTTGTATTATATTAATTTAACCATTTATAAATATTTCAAACTAATAACTAATTTTTAATGTGTTACAACATATTTGAACCGTTTTGTATACAAAATTGATAATATTTTTAATTTAGAGAAACTATGATTGCATGTATAGTAGGCAACAGTATGCAACAGTACACTGCAGTCGATTAGGCGCTAATAAATTTATGTCAATGATCCAAAAGCAATTATAAATATTATTTAAAAATTTCTGAAAAGGATGACTATTTCTCAGAAGTCCCAAGGTGATCATTTGCCAGATATTATTTTCCACATTTAATCATAGAGTTGGTACTTTAAATTGGAATGAAGATGTTGTTTTTTTTTTTTTAATAATTTAGAATGAACTATTTTAATGGAAGAACCTGTATTGCGCGACTCTTACGGAAAAGTCATGCAAAACTGCTAGCTAGAAGTTTGAATTTACCGCGCGTAATGAAATTAAAAAAGCGCGCCAACGCGATGTCCTCCGTTTCGATGTCTCGAATCGTATCTAGGTGGCCTTAAAGTTTCGAAGCCGGCCAGACCGGACTGTATTTTTGCTGAGCTGGGTTGTTATTTACATCTCGGAGCCGCTGTTCGTCCAGTGATCCCATCTGTGAGAGGAGAGGAGCGGCGAAAAATTCTCGTGTGAAAATTCGTCGCGCTGGCATCCCAACATTATCAAAGTCCAATCCCCCTTTTAGTGTTTCCTTATCACCTGCACCGCGCGGCCTTAACCTGCCTTAGCCAGGACGTTTGACAACGATGAAAGTGACGGTGACTACGCTCAGCGACGACATCTTCGTCCTAGATGTCAGCGAGGAGTTGGAGTTGGAAAACTTCAAGGCTTTCTGCGAGATCGAGAGCGGCGTCCCGGCTCACGAGATCGTAATCGCGTTCAATGGTCTTCCCCTGATGGACGACAAAAAATCGTTACGAGATCACGGGATCCGGGACGGTGACGCGGTGATCTTGCAGCATATGCACCAGAGTGGCAACCTTCACCCCTTTGACAGAGGTCAGCTTCAATCCGCATCATTATTTAATGCAGCGATCGAGGCGGGTCGTGAGGTTAGCTTTTCGGCTTCGATTTACGTTTTCAATCACTCTGTATCAGAGATAGGCAAAATTCTTATCTAGATAACAATTTCCAATAATGATTAAAAAATGAACAACAGGATACGATTGAATTTCATAAGAATATATTTAACAATATACAGACAAAAATGTAACTATTCAATTGTAAATTGTATCTGTATTCCTCACATTGCTCAAGTAGATCTTATTTGAAAACACACACACACACACACACACACGATTCCAGTGTGTACAAACTTGGATCTGTCTACTCGACTAAACATGCTTCCCTATGTATGTCTATTTTTATTCTGCCATCAAAATCATGTCTTGATTGTATATAAAGCAAAAGATTTTGGTTGTCAAAACTTATTTCTTATGCTATGAATTATATAAAGTTTGAATTTTACTTTTGTAGTCTTGTTACATGCATTTGCTCTCATGTATTGCAGTGACTTTCAAATTTTTTATTAACTCTGACTATAATGAGTGCAACTGATGAGTGATAATTTATTTGCTTTCTTGAACCCATTCAATGTTGCCTAAATAAAAATAATTCTTATCTCTAGTTGTGACCATCTATATATAATCTTTATAAATGATAGTTGAAGATTTCAAACTGAAATTATACATAGTGTTCAAAAGTAGTAGGATGGCTAAACGAAGAACCAAAATATTTTGCTACGAATACATTATGTTTTAGATGAACTTTTGAATATTTGTAAGACCTTACAGTTGCTCTGCATGGTTTTGTTTGTGCAAACAGAATGATTGAAGCTTTGCACAGCAGTTGATTTAACGATAGTTTATTCCAATGGGATTGTCTTGTGAGTTGTTTAAGAGCGCATTCTATGTAGTAAAGAAGAGAATGTATTAAATTCCAAGATACGTTACTTTAGCTGTTCCCATGTTGGACTGCAGTTCCATCAGAGTACCAGAAGTGTCCACTAATCGACAGCCTACCACTTCGAATAATGCTGCAAGAGTACAAAATCCTAGAAGCGAGGATGATCCAGCGATGATAAGAGATATGTTCTTAGCTAACCCAGATCAGCTAGCACTGCTCAAACAGAATAATTCTAGACTAGCCGATGCTTTATTATCTGGAAATTTTGGTGAATCTTGGAAATATATATTTTTAGATCGCTATCTTAGCATTCTGAAAATTTGTTTTAATTAAATAATTTTGTGACTTATAGATAGATTTTCTACTGTACTCAGAGAGCAAATAAAAGCTCGAGATGAACGTCAGGCTCAAAGATTAAGAATGATGAATGCAGATCCGTTTGATACGGAAGCACAAAGGCTAATTGCAGAGGAAATTAGGCAAAAAAACATTGAAGCCAATATGGAAGCTGCAATGGAGTATAATCCGGAAATATTTGGAACAGTTGTTATGTTATATATTAATTGTAAAGTCAATGGATTTCCAGTTATAGCATTTATTGATTCAGGTGTGTATCCATTTACATTTAAATTTGATCAATAATGTCTTTATCTACATTTAAATTTAACTAATAAAAAGTAATGAAATGTATAAATTCGTGTGACAAATATTTGATACCACCCTTAGATCGGAGACAAGATTGTTTTCAAATATCTTTCACTGCATTCGGTTAGTGGGTGTCTATTTTTAAATTCGTACATTTTGAAAGTCATTCTTTACAGTATGGTTGTTCATGGAGGGTACAGTTTAATTTTAGACATTGGAATTTGCACTCTCGCACGAGTCATATTTTTGTATTTTTAAATAGCTTGATACTCCCATCCAAAAAATACTTCTCTATGACGTTCGGTAAAAGAATAATATCAAAAATTAGGTGCACAGTCAACTATAATGTCTGCTGCCTGTGCGGAAAGGTGCCACATAATGCGATTAGTAGACTCAAGGTGGGCTGGAGTGGCTAAAGGTGTTGGAACTGAACCAATTATTGGACGTATACACATGGTACAAATTCAGATTGGTAACGATCACTTAACGACATCGTTCAGTGTCCTTGAAAATCAACAATTGGACATGTTATTTGGTTTGGACATGTTGAAGAGGCACCAGTGTTGCATAGACTTGAAGAAAAATGTCCTAAAAATTGGCACTACTGGTACTGAAACACCATTTCTTGCGGAAGGTGAATTTTTCAAAAACACCAGCTGCTGTGAAATATCTCTTTTAGTTATACTATAGAAGAATGTCTTTTCTTAGGCGATTTGCCTGAGTGTGCAAGGTTGAGTGGCAACAATGATCCGGCTTTTGACGATGAGGTTTTCGACGATAGGGAACTTCAAAGAGCTCTGGAGGATAGTTCTAGAGATGCGACGAAACAACGTCAACAAAAAGGTATGTATGAATCTGTCTCAACCCCTTCCTTTTTCCACAATGATTCTCTAAAAATACTTATTGCCAATGAAACAGGAGTAAGCAAATTCCTACCGATATTGAACACATTTTTCTCTCATCCAGGAAAATCCAAATAACAAGAAACCAGATCCTTTAATTCATCCGGATTGATGTTTCTAATAAACCGAGAGTTGATCACTTTCCCTTGCGTATTTGTGTATTTATTTATCGTCTGTTAAAAAGCAGAAGGAGTGTCTTTTCCGTATACTTTGTAGATGGTCAAGGAAGTAATAATTCAAGCGGGATTTCGAGTTCGTCAAGCATATCAACCGCTCTAGACACAACAGTGCACTCTCAAGATCCTTTCACGGAGGAAACAGTCGAAGAGATCGTGGCCTTGGGTTTTACCAGGGCGCAAGTTATCGGGGAATTGCGCAGATTAAACGGAGATAAGGCGCAAGCTACCGCTGCGTTATTCGCGAAATCATTAAAATTTTAAGGCAACGAAGAGGGGAAATGAAACTTTTAAAAATCCAGATAACAAATGTAGAGGATAAGAGAATTTGTACTTGTTTACTTGTAGCGATTTTTCATACAATGATTACTCATGTTGATGCACCAAGTGACCAATAACGCTCAGACAGAGACACGTTTATCGTTCGACGGTATAGGTTTAATTCCGCCGAGCAGAACTGGATGATTAGGTTCCATTTTCAGGGTGAAGCTATATATCCTGTGCATATCCTATTTTTTTTGTTATGTATCCAGAATTTATAAGGTGAATTAAGTCTGTTGAATTTCAATAGGGGCGAGTCAGTGTGGTGTGGAATTCAACTACAATTACCGCAATACGCATAAGTTTAGGGTTAGGTTAAGGAGAATTATAAGATTTAATTAGACGATCAGTTCGTTCTTTTTGTGGAGATAGAAAAGAAGTTCGGTCGCGTTCGTTAGCGCTCTTACTATTTTTTTACTAGTTCAAATCCATGCAGAAAATGAAGAGCCAAAAGCATAGTTTCACATTACGAATGTTCCAGGCCTTCTAATAAATCAGCTTGCCTCTGAAAGTTAGTTCCTCCGTAATTTATCAAATAAATAAACATTATAACGCGGGATGGTCCTGACGGATCAAACAGTCTAAAATACAAGCAAAACTCTCGATTGGAAACCTTTATTATTTTTGGTGACTATTCATTGAGTCTACATAGCAAACAACATGAATTTTGTACTGTTATTATCTGCTTAGGGTATGGTATTTTTCTGTATTTTCTTTATTATACCGATTAAAAAAAAAAGAAAGTGTAACAACGTAATTCACCCGTGTTTCTATACTTGTACGTATTTTTCTGAATAGTCACGTTCTATTATGTTAGGAAGTAAGCCTTCTTACACTCTGTTAACAGCAGAGTTGTTTCAGCACGAATTAACTTTTGGCTAAGTGGTATATTTGTGTTTTGTACCTTTTATTTTGCTCAGTCGAAGGCTGTAGTTGAATAAGAAGAGAAGATTTGCCCTAGCGCGAATGATTTAAATTTTTCTTGCATATGTTCCTATTAGTCTCACTTGTAATTTGGCCAAAGGCAATTAGAAATATTCAGTGGGAGATGCATGTCCCACTAAGGTCGGAAGGGTTAAGTTGTAAATCTCCATACATCATTTTCAAGGGACTAATTTATAATAAAAAAAAAATTGTATATAATGTATAGCATTGTTTGTTTGAACTTGAAAAACTGAAAAACTATACAACCGATTTTGGTGGAGGTTCCGTTAATGATAATTTCTCGAGGAAAATTTTCACCTAACATCTTCTTGGATTGACTTGGAATTGTTGGTACCTTTCATTTAAATGAGATTGTTATGTTTGTTTCACAAAGTATATTTAGCTTCTAAAAGCATTATCAATGTCGTTTATAAACACTTTTTCGGCAGTATCAATTTAATAATGTACAAAAACCAAGCTCATAGCAACAAACATAACAATTTTAATTTTCATTTGGTAGATGAAATTCGATCCTTAGGTGCACCTTATCGCTCTTACTTGAATGCTGAACAAACGATAATAATGTCGAGGATGACACCGTTACTTTTAAGGAGATAACAATTAAGCAAGAAGAATTGCTGTGTGTAGAAATTGGTAATTGAATCACATTATTTATAAGAGTTCCTCGTCCGACCACTTAATTTCGACCATTTTGCCGGTGCGAGCAGACTCGGCGCACGCGCTAGCAACCTTGCTAACCGCCAGGGTTTCTTTAGGCAGAACGTTCATCTGAGCCTTTCCATTAACAACGTCGATAAAGTGATTTAGCTCGTTGCGATAACCATGCATGTATCTGCTAGGAAACGAATACCAGATAGGGTTCTGAGTAGCTCCTTGAAGACCGTACTGGGTGGTAAGGCTAGGATTAGGACGTTCGTTGTCCACAGTTATCATGCCCTTCTGACCGTACACCTCGAGACGCTGATCGTACCCATAACAACTGGTTCGTGACACATCGACCATCCCCAAGGTACCAGAAGGAAAGTAAAGAGTTACTACTACTGTATCGTAGTCACCCATGGCTTTGATTTCTGGAACGTGTGCGTGGGCTTGGGCGGCAACCTGCGATCAAATATTTCGAAAATACGATTGGTTTCATTTACACTGACAGGCTAATAATGAATTATTTAAAATTTCAAGTAGACTAGTAGAATATATGTGATACGTGAAAGAAATATATCAAAGTTGAGGATGAAATTTTCAATTATTGTTTGTTTGTTCTGGAAGTTTGCCAATGATGATGTTACAAAATATTATTTTACCTTGATTGGAAGTTCTCCAAGAATTGCAATTATCATGTCGAAGTCATGAACCATACAATCATGGAATATTCCACCAGATGTTTTCAAGTATTCTACGCTAGGAAGAGGAGAGTCCCTAGAGATAGTCTTAATCACGTGAACGTGACCAATTTCGCCGTTTCTGACCCTTTCCTTGGTCAATGAAAAGCTAGGATCGAAACGCCTGTTGAAGGCGCAGAACAACGGTTTGCCGACCTTCTTTGCAGTCTCGTAACATTTTAGAACATTCGAGCGATCTTCAGCCACTGGTTTCTCACAGAAGACCGATTTCTTCGCTTCCAGAGCTTTCCTTACAATCGTTTCGTGAGTAAATGTGGGCGATGCGACGATAACAGCATCTACGCTAAATAATTACGAATAAATTGTTAATTAAATATTTAAGAACCTTTAATATATTTCACCTCGAGTAAAGTACAAATTCAATAATTGTGTAATTGCTATTGTGCTAAAGTGCGGATTTTTATGCGATTATATTATAGGAAATGATGAATTCGAATATGCAAAAAACTACAAAATGCACACAGTATGCAATAATACAAAAAAATATTGGAAGAAAATGACCGGTGCTTTGAAACTTTCTGATAATCTTGATAGAAAAACAGGTGCTTCTTACTTGGGATCGTTGAATACCTTGTCCCATTGTTTACTGTTCAAGAAAGTAACATTATCTAGATGCCAGTAGTCCCTCAGGTTGCTCCATTTCGATTCGAGATCGTCAACGATATACAACAATTTTACGTTAGGATTGGTCATAATATTTGACAAATGAATCGTTCCAGCACGTCCTGCGCCAAACAGGGCGAGTTTCACTACTGGCTGGAGTGAGTCTCTTTTTGTCGCGAGATTTTTCAAGTAACTGTAATTAAGTTAAAATAACTTTCCAGTAACCGAAGAAGAGAAAAATTCAACCAACCGAAGCATCATCCAAGAATTGAATCGAAATTTGTGTTCATTATAGGCAAAGGATAAGAATTGTTAAAGGTTCACGAAGTCGAACATGTTTTAGAGTAACATTTCGGATTATACACGGTATCCTAGAATTCGTGTAAGAACCGGAAGTGGGGGGTAGCTGAGACAATTTTGAACCACAATTTTCTTTGCAAAAATGTCGGTTGGTGCTTCGCTTTTGAATTATTAACGAAAAACCAGCGATCAATCACAGTGGCCGAGTAGCGGGCCAGAGAGAAATTCTCAAAGTATAGTTAATACTTCGTATGGAACGATTCTCCAATTACTTACTCCTGATAGACATAGTCTTGCACGGCCGGTGAGGGTTTTTGTTTCGCGTACGGCGAGACATCCTTGAATTTCACCGTTGCCATGATTTTAACTCTATGTGCAATCTATTCACGAGTGATTTGAACTTGCGCGAAATCGTACTGTTTGCGATGAAAATGAACAAACGGCGGCGTGCTAGTATATAAACAAATTAGCTGGCATAGTGGGGGATCGAATGTGACGTAAATTACACGAGATTGAACAGCGCCAGATTTTTATATCCAAAAAGTTTCAGTCGTTCAGAGTTGCTTAACTTGTTTATGACTCTTTATCAACTCTGACAGTAGGGCTTGGAAAAAGTTCCACTACAGTACAGATTACAGACATTTTCGTTAGCGAGTTACTTGCGAGAAAACTTGCGTGTGTATTGCTTAAAAAGTGTGGAGATTCTAATGTTTAAAGTCTGAACCGATTATAAGATTCTGGAGATGTAAAGTGTTAGAAATGAAACGATATATTGATTATACAATGCAGGGTGTCCCAAAAATGCTGGAGGTCCTTGAAAGGGGTGGTTCGGAGGGTGATTTAGTGATTTAAGGAGATATTAACAGAGTATCCCGGTGGAGCGCGGCCGTTTCGTAATTCGAACAAATTCTGATAAAACAAATTAATTATTCCTTTCTGCAGACTAGACAATGGTACGTGAATTGAGTAAAATGTACCAATAATGTTATGTAAATTGAGACGTTTATTTTAATCAAGTTACGCGAGCGGTATTCTTCCAAGCAGTCTAGCTTCTATTATCTCAGTATTCAGAGTTTTATATAATTATAGAGCGATATCGTTTGGTCAGCGTTTACAATATGTTCTGATTTTACAAGGTTATCGGTGTATCGTATCACCTATCGCTAAAAACATGAAATAAAATGTAATCAACATCATTTAGCGCATCGGTATCATCGAAAATATGTATATTACGTGGAGAGTGGAACTGTACCAATCGTATCGGGTATCGCGAAACCTTTCATCGATTAATATTATTGCTAAAAATCGTACGCGGATTCGGAATCGCAGTATGGAACTCTTGCTTCAAGTAGCGACATAAAAGTACTCGAATTTCAAAATTTTCCATGATTTTACTAAAACGACAAAAATTAAACGATCAATGAATTAATATAGCTAATAATTAAATAGGGAAGAGCTTTTCAAAGGCTACAAAATGATTTATAACACTTGCATATAAAGTAATTTTTGGTTCATCTTTATATTAGATTGCTCAACAAGTTGATGTTATAACGGTAATAGGATTGTGCACAATTCAGTGATGTTACATAAAAGACAATCTGAATAAGAGACAAGGTCTAGATATGAAATTATTTATATATAATGTCAATGATAGTTTACGCATCATAATTTACAAATTCATCATCGATCCTGAGAATTGAGTTCGGCACGGCATTGTGGTCGGTATTACTATCCACATAGGCTGTCTCCTTTGACTTGTCCCTGCCGGGATCGGCATCCGCCAGCGATACGCTTGATTTCACTTCTCTCGAAGCGACGATACGATATGTTGTTTCTATTGTTATGATGTAATCAATGGAAATGCGATTAATACGTTCCCTGTCGGACGGCTTTTTTTTTAATTTTCCGTTCATCCCGGGTTTGGCATATGCGTCTCTCCTTATCGAGACTAACAGATTCGATTATGTGTATCTTACAATATTTATAAAACCGCAAAAATAATTATTATCAAGAAAAAAGTGTAACATTTAGTATGCATTTTAAAATGAAGCAACATTATTTGCTTTATTAGAGCATGTACAGTATTGTCACGCGATCAGTAACTCGCTAACCCCACCTTTTTTTTTTGAAGACGCCTACCGAGTGAGAGATCCAAAAAGAAGTGAGAGGCCCGTGAAAGCGAGAAGCCAAGCAGATTAGTGGAAAGAGCACAGAACATGTGTAATGTTTTCTCTTTCTTTAGCGCGTGTATTCTCCGAAACGATACTGTTAGTTGTATGTATGTATGTAGTTTTAAACAGGCTAGTATAGGTTGCCGCATTAAAAGGGGCACGTCGGCGCCTACGATGCAGCAACAGGGCCTACCAATTGCCTAGCTATGATTGCCATCTAACAAGGGCACACTCCGCACCTACGTGGTAACAACCAGACCTACAAACCAATTGGCGGGTTACATTAAGGTGGTTTCATGTGGTTACAGTTAGGATTCCATTCCTAAATGTACCAGTCCAAATTTTACATTTTGGTATCAGAACAACAAAAAAATGCGAAGAGGTGACACGAGAAATATCTGGTACGTATCGAAATTCTCGACAAATTTTACATTTTGGTACGAGCAGGCAACCGACCCGACATATCCGTAAGTATAAGTTGCCTAATTCAAGGGGCACATTTTTCGTACGTATCAAATTCTGGCCCGATTTTACATTTTGGCAAAGTCAACAAAGTTGCAAATCGCTCCTCTAAAAACTTCGACAATGTTGCAAAATCAACAAAGTGCAAATCGCCCCTCTCCGAACTTCAACAATGTTACAAAGTAAACAAAGTTGCAAATCGCCCCTCTCCGAACTTCAACAATCTTACAATGTCAACAATGTTGCAAATCGTTCCT